TATATCATTTTCTCTTTGAAAGTCTACACACCTTCATGGTTAGAGAGTAATCACATCGCTCTAGATGTGGACATGTTCTGATGACGTGAAACAAAAGAATATTTCTTTCAGACTCGGGAAATTCTTAAATGCTGGTTTTTGTTCTTATTTGAAAATTATGATAAGTATTTTTTGAGTAGTTCTAGATATTTATATATATTTGTCCTGAAATATTAAATACTAAAGTATCTTCTAAACTTATTTCTTTTGTATGAAAAACAGTAAACAGAATCTGAGAATCAGTTCCGGTAGGTTCACAGACTCATTTGTTCATATGTAATAAAATTCAAAATGCATTCTCTAGTTTTATTTTAAATGTTCTTTGATAGGTGTGGTAAGGCTGTGAACTGGCTGCGCAAAACAACCACGCCCCCAGACAGCATCGACTAAGAACAATAGAAGAATGTTGGGTGTAGGAATCTGGTCTTTAATCAGGACTAAATACCTTAGTTGTCGTTACGGTTTAAAAACAAACCGAAACAACATTCGTGGAAGCATAAAGTAATATTTTTTAATTCGATGTGCACGTTTCACTCGTAACTTTGGAATAATCTAACTGCTCGATTTAATTTTTTCCATTAAAATCACTAATCATTTTACAAGCTTGATGCCCTAACAAAATTAACCGAATTTTTAAAACTTCACAGGGTATTGCTATTAAAAATGAACATATAAACTAGTAAATACAACACAAGAAAGGATATTTAAACAACTACGATTTTCAATATTTAAATAAATAAAAGATAGAGCAATTAAATATCTGAGATTTTTGATATTTAAATAATGAAATAAGGCAATTCAACAACTATGATTTTTTAATATTCAAATAACTAAATAGGGCAATTGACCAACTGAGATTTTTAATATTTAAATAATAAATTAAAATAATTAACAACTACGATATTTAACATTTAAATAACAAACTAGACAATCAGTCATACTTTTTTAATACTGAAGTAATGAAATTAGGCAATAAATCTCAGTGTTACCGAACAATGCAACGATTTTTGAATACATTTTTAAAACTATCTGTGCACCCAATTATGGCGATTCATATCTTATTATGGATCCTGTAAACAACAAAGTCAAGAATCCAAATTAAAAAATGTAAACAAAATATCGTCAATACTGCAGTTAATCTCAATAATTAATGCCAGAAACGGCTATTTATTTTACGTAGAACATCGGTGATTCCACCCAATTATGTTTGGATTCTTGACTTTGTTGTTTACAGGATCCATAATAAGATATGAATCGCATAAAAAATGTAAACAAAATATCGTCAATACTGCAGTTAATCTCAATAATTAATGCCAGAAACGGCTATTTATTTTACGTAGAACATCGGTGATTCCACCCAATTATTTTTCATCAGTTTTTTATACTGAGTGCTGTAACTGTCAAAAATAAAATATATATTTATTCAGTATAATATAATATGTGGGTCCCACCATTAGTGAATGGTCTAATTAAAAACAAGGTAATAATATAAGGATTAAATAACTAGGATGTTTAATAGTGACATTCAGAAAACGTATGTCAATGTTTAAGTGACAATTAAGATATTTGTTAAATGACGAAACATGAACTTAATTATCAATTTATTAACTTTATATCGGCAGTATAACAATGAGTTAAATTCTCCAAGCATTGATTTAGTCTTATTTTTTCCCAGATAAAAGTAAGTTAGTCAAACAGTGAGCTTTGTTTTTGGTTCATAGCTACCCTAATGAATTCTGTAATAAGTAATTCATTAAATAATTAATATAGATAGTTAGTAGTTAATTTTACGTCTTAGTCTAAGACAAAATTTGTTTAACTACTGACAGTTTCTCTTATCTTAAACCTAACACAGTACTTAATTCAAGATCGTCTTGGAAGATAACGTTGTGAGCAATATTTTCATTGTTTAGATTTATATGTTTGTTAGAGAACGTATACGGTTAAGATCTAGTGAATTAGATTAAAATATAGATGGGTATATTCGCTATAAATACGAGTAAACAGTAGATTCAGTAAAGTATTCATTTGAGTAGCAAATGAGGACGCAGAGGAGTTGGTGAGTGATCACGTTATTTTATTTGTTGTTAAGACACCTGTGAACTATGAGAGCACAGAGCCATCTATTGGAGTAAAACAAAACTTCGCCGTAGAAAAATTTATAGATTGAATGTTTAAAATTTAAAATAAAGACCATTACGCAACACACATAGCAATTAAAATTAATTTGTAAACTTACAGTCGACATTATCATCAACTCATTCTGAAATCTATTAAAATCATTCAACAAAGTAAATTACAATATTTTATAATCACCATTACTCATTTCCTCTTAACCTTTAAAATCCAATTTTTGAAGTTCATCGTTGTATAATTTTTTTCATACAAATCACAAAATGAGAGTGGAAACTAGGCAATTTATGGCTTAATAGACTTGACTATTTTGTACAAGTTTTAATTATCAACGTATGAAAATATAGTAAATCATTAAGATGAAAGATTAAAACCTAATTTATTCGGAACAGAAACAAACTTCCAAACGAGCATGCTCATTCAGCTATAATAATCCATTCACAAGAAGTAAGGTCCTTTTAATTATGACCTATTAGATAACTCTATGGAAACTCTGGTGGTAAAAATATTGTTGTCATCTTGCTCTATCCACTTAACATAATGCTAGAATTTGTAATAATCGATAAAACATAGAACTGTTTTATTTATGTAATTGTTTTTTAAAGCTACCTTCCATTGATGAAGCAGTCTCAATCCATCCTTAAATGTAAGAATTCTGCCTTTTAACTTTAGTTTTTTACTTACGTTTTATGTTAATTAGAATGGATAAAACTATTTAGCACAAGGCCAAAGAGTTAGTTCTTCAGTAACTTAGACAGCACCATTGTCTTCTTTAGCCTTTCGTTACAAGTGAAGTTGCTTTGAGGAAAGAATAAAATATGATGAATGGACGTTGGCTGAAGATTGGTATGGTGGAAACTAAGAAGAAGAAGACCAAGGAGAGGAATCTGTAGCGCCACTTTCTTCAAACTGCCACCATCTATTGACCTTTTCATGTTGGCCCAACCAATTTGAAGATATATTCCGATCACTTTATTAGGACCTCGGAGTAATATTGAACTGTTTATCTAACAAGATGCTGGAAAATGTCATGTTCAATTGTAGCTGACTCTCAAATATTAGTAGAGAGCATCGAATGCGATATTCAATCTCATCCCAAAGATGACCAATCAGATAGAGATTTGGTGACTATGTTGATAATGAAATATGAATAAAATAATTGCCAGTTCTTTTAATTCTGGATATCATAAACTCGTGGGTTGTTTCACAATCGTCTTGAAAAATACAAGTGTTGGTTGGACATTATGAGGAGTAACGTCGAGATAAACTTTGTTTTCAAAAGCACTTACCTTAGCTATTATAACATTATCTACACTATTGTCCTATCTCCAGAAACTTCTACGCCTCTAAATATTAGATTCCACAGTTTCAGCTCGACCACCGCTAAAGATGTGATTTTTTGTCTACATCTGAGATAAGCAGTTTTTGGACTGATTGTCGGTTATCATTTTTTGCAATGCCCATCATATGTTAAGGTTGAATAGGTTCGAAACCTGGTCACTGTTGAAGAAACAGGAGAATATGAACACAATATGAAGCTTGTTACATTTTAAAAACCCATTTAATTGTTTGTTGGTTTTTTCATGGATAGTCACCAATGATTTTCCTAGTGGCAGATTTATTTCTAGCCAAAGAAATTGTCTTTTATTATAATACTTCTGTTAGATTGACCTTTAATATCACGCCCCTTTTAACGTCGGAGATATATATGCTCTTATTTGTTGTCTTGTAAACTAATCACAATGAGACTATAATTATGATGGTGTGGAGTACAACCAATCAACTGGCAATCCGTATTTTGCATATTTCACTTATTTATGTGTGTGTGAGGGGTTAAACTTTTTAAAAAAATACGTAGTTAGTGTTGGTGTAAAATTACAAAAAAAATGTGTAATTGTCGATAATCTGAATATTTTACATTAACATAATATGCTGTATTTTTGTGTTTAAAATTGTTTGTTTGTAGTTAAGAACAAAGTTACTCAATGGTCTATCTGTACTCTGTTCATCCGGTTTCTGGCGTTGTAAAGTCAGGAGACATACTGCTGTGCCACTAAGGGAGGGGGTGTATGTGCGTCTTTAAAGCCTATAATTCTATTTCATAACCAGATTTATACAAAAGCGTCACGCCATAAAAAAATAAAAAAACTTACGGAAACTATGCTTCAAATATTATTTTAAATCTTTGTATATTCCACATTTTGTGAGGTTAGCCTGAAATCTTTGCAAACTTCTTTCTAAGGCGATGTGTAAATGACTGCTGTAATTACAATGGGGTGGATAACAAAATAACTAACAATGATACAAAACTCGAATAACGGCGCTATGCCTCTTTTCCCGTCGTAATGTTCATTAGTGTAAGAAGGAAATTGATTAATACACTCACTTTAGTTTATTCCACCATAGTCAAAAATTGATTGAAATATCAAATATCCGGTATTACTCTGTAGACGTAGTGCTTTGAAATATTCATATTTTTCTTGCGATTTTCGAGTTAGGTTGTTTTGCGATTACAACGTCCGTTTTTCTAGTCATTGACACTATTTGAATTAATCATTGACACTATTTAAATTATTAATCAGTCGTGAGCGCAGAAACCAATTGCAGCTGTAATAGCACAAAGATCATCTTAATACTTACAATTGTGACTGTATTTTATAATGCTGTTCTGTGTAGCTTTCAGCTTTGCTTCATAATTAAATAATATTTTATGTAATAACTATATTACGAATGTTGGATAAAATAAGTTTGATTTATCTATCTGAGTTTAAGAAAGACATTTTCAGAGATTTTCCAGGTCTAACCCCTTTTTTTCTTTTCTTTTTCAGGTAAAGAAGAGCCAATTACTTCTAATAGAACGACATGATCGGGGCAGCTGGCAGCCGACACTTAGGTGGCAGGCGGCGGGGATCCTCCCCCTGTATCTCTCCTCATCTTCAGCATATGGCCCGCTTGAAACTAGGCACTCATGACGAAGAGGAAGAAGAAGAAGAGAATGGAAAAGCGCACCCCTCAACTCGACTCTCGATCCCTGAACTTCCACAGGGGGTGCGCTTCAGTAGAAGAAGAGCGGTGACCACCTCTGACCACAAAAGCTGTGCTCTAGTACAAACAAAGTTCAAGGGAATGACGCTAGAGGAGGTTGCGTAAGTTAGCCTTTTCTTTACGTGAAAGTATGGAAAGTAAGCATATGAGCTGTTAAGCTATATTGTACGCTATTAAATCCTTTCTGGAAAACATTTTCCAAAATTATATGTAAGCTCAAATCCGTCATTGTGTATAAATATATTAAACAAAGGATGTGACATGTATAATAAAACTTCAAAAACGGATACAAAAACACTGAATATCGAAGCTTGTAGCATAGACACTATAAATTAGTATTTTTATCCTGAACGTTATATTAACCGAGACACGGACTAAACGGGTTAGTCATTCATACAGTTCGTATGTAATTGTCACTAATTTTGATTTACAGCACCCACCGCCACAAGGTCTTTGTCCGGCTTTCAATCAAATAACGAGATTGGGTGCTACTATAATGTATCCACAGTTGTAAGTGCAGAGCGTGTTTAGTGGCATTGCGGCGCGACACTAGGATCTTCTATACGTAAACAACGTCAAATCGTAGAGCGCCACCTACGTAAGCGTAGAGTACTTCATACAGGCGAAAACAATAGGTGTTTAAAAATTAAAATTTCTGTAGAAAGTACTAAACATACATTGAATTTGAACAAGAACATGCTTAATATAATGTTCATATAACTGCTTCTAAATCTCCCAGAAAGTCCTATGAGTTTATTTAATTAATAACCTACGTGACCTTGAAATATGACTGTTTAATGTAATTATCAAAACACTATTTGATATGACTGTTTCATGTAATTATTAACACACTGTTGTGATATCACTGTTTAATATAATTATTAAAACACTTTTGTGATATCACTATTTAATGCAATTATTAAAACACTGTTGTGATATCACTGTTTAATACAATAATTAAAACACTATTGTGACATCACTGTTTAATGTAACTAGTGAAATACTGTTGTAATATTGCTGTTTAATATGATTATTGATACACTGTTGAAACGTGCATACATAGTTTACGATGTTTTTTTTCTCATAGGAGTTTGGTTTTCTAAAGATAAACAATGTTTTTACAAAATTCCCTACAGAAGCTATAATATGTTATTGCATAACAGAAAAACGGATCTGATACAAAATAGTGACTTCACTGTTACTATTGTTCTATGTTGCCTTTAACACCCTGTTTATCAGCGAAAGAGCTTAATGCAATATCTTTATTTTTATCTTTTTTTTTTTACAAAGCTATGACAAAACTGACGCCAGATATAAATATAAATATTTTATAAACTGAAATACAAAGAAACAATTTGTATCTATTGGAATGTACTGGGTAGCAACAGCAAGAAAGATCTGTATGCTCATGCTCTTTTGTATTTTTTTACTTGAGGTTTTAATTTTTAATACGATTATTACACACAACTGCCTTTTTACTACTCAGGAAATATTGTTTTAGGCTCATAATTGTAGTACGTGTAATGAAATCTGAGTACTATACATACAATAAGTTTCTTCCTCGAGTCTATATATTTCTTTAGACGAGTATTTTTGT